ATGGTATGGCCCCAGAAATGGTGTTATTCCGGCGGTCTTGAAACATCCCTGATTTAAGCCCTTTCCCTCTTATCCCAGCTGCTAAAAACGAGTCTTTTCTAGTTGCAACACAGCCGTTGCTAGCATCGACAATCTTTTTTGAGCCGCGAACTTGATGTGCCCAGATGATATCACGTGTATCATTTAGTCATACTATGTCCTTACATAATCAATTTTGTCTTGCTAAAACTGTAGCGGCAGCAAAAGACGACAGGCTGTAAAGACCCTACCTACAAACGAGCAGCTCATGCCGGGTTGCGACATTCCGAATAAGATTGACAAGGCTGTCTTCCCTTTAAATGACTGATACCGGGCTTTGCTCCTGGACCGAGAAGAAGAATAGACCCTTTGGAACTGGCAGCTAACTATCCCAGGCAGCTGAGCAGTCTAGAGCCAAAGAATAGCAATCAACTCCTTACTCCTACACAATGGCGATGCTCCGAATAAGATATCCGTTTGCTGGTAGGTTTGAGATTCTACCTTGGCTGCTGCATTTTCTTCTCAGTTTTGTGATAATTGCGGTCATAGTTGTCTGACCTGTTTTACCTATAGGAGCGTTTGCTGGCATCTTCCTACTATCCGCCTACGTGGGCCTTCTACCTCACAGCACCCCGAAAGAAGGAGAAGCTCCGGCCCCATCACCCCTACAAATCAACGATAAGGTGCTTCACGTAATAACGTTTTTTCTCCTCTCTCTCACATTCTACTGGATCCTAGACACTACTCGCCGAAGAACGCTTCATCTAACGCTTATCATCTGCACACTGGTACTCGGAATAGGTTCCGAGATAGTGCAAGCTCTCGTCCCTAATGGCCGTTCCTTTGATCCCTTTGATATCCTGGCGAATGTTGTCGGAAGTCTTGGTGCCATAGGGCTATGTACCTGGTACCACAAGAGGATGCTTGAACGGAGGAGGAAGGCACGGTTTGGTGCGCTGGTGGGGAATACAGAGGAGGATGTCGAACTTGGCTTGGCCAATGGCACTTCAGAGCAAGAAACGGGCGTTACGAACGCTCAATCCCTCGAAGAGGAAGTTGATAACTGGGACGAGAATGCTGAAGATAACTGGGATGCTGCAGATGACGTTGAAGATTCTGGAGCCGTTGCTGCGTCTGGTGATGATTCCACTGGGGATCTCGGTGGGAAAAACTCGACTAACGGGGCAGGAAAGCCGGCAGAGAGTGATCACAAGAATTGATCCTCCCGCTAACCCACTTTCCTTGCCTTACTCGAAAGCTAACCAACCTCCTCTCATGCTATGGCTATGTTATATGACTTTCTGTTGATATTTATGGACTTGTTCGGATGGGACTAGGATTTTCTCTCTCTCTCTCTCTCTCTCTCTCTCTCTCTCTTTTGGAGCCGGTGTACCAAAGCAAGCGACGTCTTTGTTACCGTTTCATGTTTTATCCTTGCCTGTACTCTAACTCTTAATGTGTGGCATTACGTATTAATCGGACTTAATAATGGAATAAAAATAATTTCAGCTCAGACCTACAATTTAAAGTACGTCGGTAACCAAAGCCGATCAGATGTTTTGCAGCTGCCCAGACCGCAGCTGCTAGTTTACTCAGGCCGTTTTTGAAAGACGCCACAGCAAACTGATTAGTTAGTTATCTGTTGATGGCTCGTTTGAAAGAAAGTGTACTTATTGCTTGATTGTTGAAGATTGTACAACCAAAAAGCCTTTGGAGCAAGCATGTAAATCACATCCAGTCAAAAGGGTTAAAAAACAAAAGAGATGAAACCGATTGAGGGTATTGCTTTCCTCCATACATGCACCAAGGAATTCTATTTACTTATGCAACATGACCATCGTAAAACACATAGAACAGGTTTAAAGGGGAGGGAGAAAGAGGTAGGAGAAGGTATAGTAAAGTCGAGAGGAAGAAACAGTCTGCATAAGAGACAGCAAGGCGGTATTTATTTAAGAAAGAAAAAGAAAAGCCGTTTAAAGCCCCCAATAGAGAAATAGTCGGAGTCATGGTATGTGAAGACAGAAAATGTAGCTTCGTAACGTGCAAAAGTTCTTCGTGGGATGTAAGTGGAAAGGGAGGTCAGTTTATACCTAGATCGGCGAAAGAGAAGTGCAAATCCATGGTATCAGCTTTCATCTTCATCTTCAGCTTCGCCGTCATCATCTTTATTGTCGTCGTCGTCGTCGTCGGCTTTGTCATTGTCATCGTTTTCCTTGTCTCCCTTGCTTTCTTTGCTCCTTCCCACATCTTTGACTTCATTATTTTCACTTTCGGGGTCGTCAGGTTCAGCTGCAGAGCCGATATCTGCCGGACTCAGAGCAACCAGTTCAGGCTTGAACATTCCGTCATCAGGTTTCGCTATTTTTTGCGGACGAGGCTCGATCGGGGCAGACTGGATTCCCAGCTTGATCTGAGTTTGTTCCTTCAAAACATCATAGATGAATTGATACTGGAATGCGTTGTAGACCATCAACATTCGTTGCTCCCGCAGTCGATTGACAGTGTTGAAAACAGCATCTGCAGAATTGTCATCTTCCTTCAAGAGTTGTCCAGACTGTAGCTGTCTAAGTAGGTGGTCGAGAGCAATGAAAGTTCCGGTCCTCCCTACGCCAGCACTACAATGCACGATTCGAGGATTGGAAAACGACTTTGCTTTCTCCGCTGTTGCTGTCATAAGGTTGAGGAGGGCATCTCTATCAGGTCCCTCTGGAGTACCATAATCGGACCACCCAGCAAAGAGAAAATGCCACACTGTCTTGGTATTTGAACCGACACGGAGCTCCAGTTCACTGACGTGTGAACGTATTGATTCATCATAAGTCGTATTCAACAAGGTAACTGAGCCAGAAAAATGAGCAGCCGGGGGTTCAGTGGTGCTGTGAGAGGAGAATTCAAAAGTAGGATTCTCCATATCCTGTGGGAAATACTGGGCGCATTTCTCCTTTCCGGATTCTACTGTTTGAGTGAGCATAACCAAAACAGCAACTTCACCGGCCTCGTGATATATCATGTTCCAAAAATCAGCAAGCCGGTCTCGTTTTGGACCCTATGACGAAGTGTTAAAACCATGAATCGTGCATGATAAGCTGCAATAAGTCATATCTATGGGTATACGCACCTGACTTGCAATATACTTGTACTCTCCGTCTGTCTCGGGGTCCTTGAGTACGATAGGAGAAGCATTGATGAAGTCACACTCCCCGGCGGGGACCTTGAGATGGACCCTGCAGTTTTCCCAGGCTTGCACATCACCGTAGCGATTTCGAGCCTTGACCTGCGGGCTTGTGTCAAGCGTCCATTTATGAGCAGGATCCTGAGACAGCGCACCGGCAGCTCTTCGATGCCGCTCCATCCACTCTAGCTCACTAAACTTGTCTCGAACATCTACGTGCCGTGAGCAAAAAGAAGGAGAAAAGAAAAATATATAGATATAAACTCACACTTTGCGGACTGGTTGAGGTATGAGGGAACCGCTAGCTTGCCATGAGCTGGTTTACCATCCATATCAGACGCTTCCGAACATTGACCGGCCGACACTCGGCTGTCTGTAGATCGACTTCGTTTGGACAGAGACGCCGACAGGTTAACCTCCGCCATCCTGACGGCCGCAGCTCTGCTCAGCGTCCGCGCCTGGTCAACAAAGTGACGCACCTTCGCAGCGGCGGCGTGGTTACGGGAGAAAAGAGCCCTGCGGGAGACGCTATGCAGGCTCGCGGTGTCCGAGCCAGACGGCGCTGGAGAGACCGACGGCTTGTCTGTCGCAGCGGTGCCCGGGTTGATATCCAAACGGGATAAATCCGGGCAGCTTTGCGAGCCGTCCGGGCCAGATGAAGAGGCCAGGGTTTATGATCGAATGACGGAGATAAATGCCGTATTGGCGGGGGCGCAAACGACACCGGTCTTCTCTGGTTGTCTTTTTTATCTTTTGTATTCCTTCAAGAGAGGGATGAAAGAAGGAAAAAAGGGGGGGTATCGTGGTGATTCCACCGTCTGTCTGTTGCAAAGCGGGAAAAGAGCGGAAGAAGTTGGAGGAAGAAAAGTCGGCTATTTAGAGGGGCAGAGGGCGAGGACAGCTCTTCTTCACGCGAGCAGTCATTGCCAGCCGGCCAGATTCACGAAGAAGCAGACAGAGAAGCAAGAGAAGGGGAGAGTGAGTGAGTGAAGCGCGGAAAGAAAGGGGACGACGGCCAGGTCGACTTCTTCCTCCTTGGGGGCGGATGGATATAACTAGATACAGGCCCGACGCAGCGCTTCCAGGCGGCGACACGATAAAAAACGAGACTGCGACGGACGCCGAGGCTTTTTTTTTTTTTTTTTTAGACCAGCGTTCTTGCAGCGGGCGAGATTCTGCAGGGAAGTTGGAGACCTAGCTAGTTTTGACTGGGACGACCAGCTGGCTGCGATGCCAGCACGCAGGAGAAGAAGAATAGTTAGGGGCAAAGGGGGAGTGCCAGAAGGAGAGCAGTATCTAGTAGTTAATAATAATAAATAAAGACTATGCGAGTTTGTTTCAGGGCAAAGACCTCGCGATGGTCAACGGGGCCTCGTCTTCACGCTTAGACTTCGACTCCGACTTTTTGGCAAAGAAAAAGGACGGCCAGGGGACAGGGAAAAAAAGCAATATATCTAACTAACAAGCAGCTAATTAAGTGAGTTAGTCACATAATTAGCCTGCCATAATCGCTTGACGTGCGCCACCTTTCGAGCCACAGGGACAGCTGGCGGGTTGGTGATCAGGCATGGCCAGGATAACTATTAGTTAGCTAACTAGCTGGCAGGTTGACGAGTTGACTCGTCCTGGCAAAAAGAGTTAAGAAGAGAAGATCATGGAATGATTGATTGTGATAACTATTCTACCTAGCTAACCTCCCAGAGGAGTCCTAGCAGCGCGCCGAGCAACCTCGAGCCGCCGCCTGGGGATCTTCCTCTGGGGACAGATGCTCCCTCACCATCCAGCATCTTCGTCATAAGAAAAAAGGAAATAATTCTCAGTCCTGGCCTTGGCCATGATGTTGGTGATTTTTTTTTTTTTTTTTTGTTTATTTGTTGGTGTTGGCCCACTTGACGAACGCGTCCATCCCTCCGGATAACAATAAAGGGGAAGAGAGAGACAATGTTGATGCACGCTTAAATGTACCACACTTTGAACCCGATGCGGTCATTGTTTGGCATAGGTAGCAGTTGGGGAGTATCAGACTCACGGGGTCCTTGTCGGACCTGACCTTGCTTGACTCCTGGTCCAGACTGTGGTCCAGAGCTGGCTGGCACATCCTCGTGCGAACGGGCGCGAGCTGAAGCAAGATGTGCGTAGTAGACGGCCGGAACTAGTAAAAAGGTGGGAAAGACAATGTTAGCAAGAGAGTCTGTGTTATTTGGTTCCATAGAGCCAACTTACATAAGGAGACAGAGGTTGTAGAACGCATATACTGGTAGCAGTGGTCGTAAATCATATTCTGGAGTTGATTCGGGTTGTGTCCAATGCCATCAACAAGAACGTGGTAGTGTACTGGGCGCGAGGTGCCCTGCAAAGCAATGTGGGAGTAAATGAGGAAATCCCAGTTGTATGGATCAGTAACATCCCGTTCAACCAAAGTGCCCGGGAGAGGGTTTCCGTTCTTGTCGGCAGCCATGCGGTCATTAGGCTCAGGGAACGCACGAACATGGTGACGTTTAGAGGCCACAACAATGGTCATCTTTCCGGGCCACTCGCTACCCATAATCTCGCTGAAGATGTCCTTGATATGTGGTATCTCTTGCTGCAAACAGGCCTGGAACTGCCCGCTCGAAAGACCATCACGGAAGTAGTAAACCTTCTGCGGAACGCTGCCTTTGCCAACCGTCATAACCCACTCACGAATTAATGGAGACAGGATGGATTTGATATTAGCCTGACTGATAAGCTCTACACGCTCTCCGTTGGTTTCGCATCCAGCAGTGTATCTGCCACCAAATGTATCCATGGAAACGGTCATCGCAGCCATAGATGGCGAGAAACTGCCCGGGGAAGAGTGGGAGACATCTGCCCCAATAATCATAGTGAATGGAGGAAGCCCACTGCACTGCTTTGAGACTGCTCTCGCGGTCGTTCCACCCAATTTGGCATTGATTTTCATCAGTACGTTTGAAATGTACTGACCATTGCACTTAACCACCTGCTGGCCCTGTAAAACCTGCGATGGGACACCAAAGCGGCAATCACACGACTTTTTGATTCGCAGGTAATGGAAGCTTTGTTTATCTGCCACGACAAATATCATTAGTTCAGGGCGAAGGTTGAATTTGTTACCCGTAGCGTGGAATAATTCAAAGACTGCCTTAGCAGGGTCCGCAACAACTTCCATGATCAGGGGGCGGCGGCTCTCAATATCTCCGCCGTGGCCTTGATAAGCCCGAACAAGAGCATCACAAAATGCTTCAACCTGAGCCATATTAATTGGGTTGCGGCCCTTGAAGACACCAACACCCCAAGACTTTAGAGGTTTTGTATTCTTTGTGTAGAATTTCTTCCCTCTCAGATCCCAGCGCCCATTTGTTCCTGGGTTAACTTTCTGGTTTCCACCAAACATGATTTCAGGGTTAGGCATAAGACGTGCTCTGGTCTTCATCATATTATCGCCGATTTTCATGCCGTAAGCATTAAGCATTGGGTCAGATGGGTGCTGCAGATTCTTCTTTGATTCTTCAATTGCCTTGCGACGTTCTGCAGGCCGCGTAACTGCAAACTTAATCATTGATGATGTTTGCAAGTCATTGAGTTTAAAGGGGTACTTTTGCGACTTGTAGATCACCAGAACTTCCATCGGGTATACCACGTCCTTTTTAGTCATCTGGACCAACGGAAGCTCCCAGTATGTCAAAGTGACGTTGTATCGGTTCTTAAAATAGTCATAGACAGAGATGGAGTTGATTTTCCCGGTTGCTTGGTCCTTTATCTCAAGTTTATACTCCTTTGCATTGGCCAAGAGGAATTCTCTAATGGTCCATTCTTTGTCGGGGCATGGGCATCCTGGATAGTTAGCTCTGACAACGAGTTTTCTCATTCTATCCAAGAGCTGGAACTTTCTGGAGCCCTTTCGGCCTCCAAAATCATCTTTCTCGGGTTTGCAGTTGTAGATAAGCTGCTGAGGATCGCGAAGTTCAAGGACCTGGACAGCGGATACGAGCAATTGGTTACGTGACCAAAAGCAGGCGTTTGAAACGTCCACATTGACAGCGAGAGATCCAGGCTATCAAGATATGGTAAGTAAATACTAGTCTAATCGTAATATCATACGCTTTTTTCTCACCTGAACAACCCGTATGGCTTGAAAGATTCCTTTGTAGGCATGAACGCCACAACCAACAGACATCTGGGGGCTATTGTCAGAAAAGAACGAAGACTTAATAGCTATGAATCTCTGGCTAGGGGTTTCGCGTAGCAGATGATTGAAAAAGGCTATCAAGTCATGTTAGATAGTTCGGCTTACAACTTCTACTGATAAAAACTTACTAAGACATTGAGTTGTCTCTTTGTCTTGACTAATGTCTCCGCGAATTGCCGATGCCAAAGTCTGCAATGAAATCGTCTTGGTGTATCTAACAACCAAGCGGAAAGCATTCGAGTTCTTGGATGGGGGGCGTCCCTGCTCTGCGTCAAGATCGACAACAAAGTTGGCATCTTTGTCGAGCTTGGTCATAGACCTAGAAATGAGATTTTAGTGTGAGTGTCCAGGCTAAGCAGGAGGATGGTTTGAAGCACTTACCAGGCAAGCTTGCTTCCATCAAAAATGAAGTCACGAGAAAGTTTGCTCTTGCGAGTCTTTGAGTCCCAGACCTTTTGCATAACAATACGCTTCTCGGCGCCGTTTCCAATCATTACCTATGAACATGTAAGTATCAAGTGTGACAAACTGGGTAATCGAATATAGGGTTCAACTCACGTCATATTGGTAAACGTTCTTCTTTGGATACTCAAGGATGGGGTAAAAGTTCGCGGACAAGGCTATTTCCTTGCCGGTGGTATTGAACCCAGGGCGCTGGGCCAGAGGCACGGGTTCAAAATACTGCTCAGCAGGTGTATCGTTAATATTGCAGTTTCGGAGGTAAATATCCGGCACCTTTGGCATGGGAGTAAAAGGCATGATGGGTAGAATTGTCAAGAAAAGCTGAAGGATTTGAGGGAGGATGATAGAATAAATTGCTGGTGATGGAATAGCTAAAGAGCTGCAGTGGAACGATGCTTGAGAGATTAAGGAAGAAGAATTGAAAAGGATGAAGAAGGGAAAATGGGCCTTTTATGCAACCTGGGAGAAGGGGCGGTGAATATGGAAAGACAATGAATATATCCCGTCACTCGTTCGCTATGGAAGCGCGCGGGTGAATGCATCAAGCAGTGACAACAAGTTTGGGCGAACATAGTGACCCGACGTGGCAATTTCCCGATGCCATGAATGCAAGTAGTGAGTGCACGGAATATTCAATAAAAATATTCAATGTCTCGCCGTATTCACCGATATATCTAGTGATGTAGCATGAGTGAAGAGATGGGTGGTGAAGACATGTTTAGCAGCAGAAATATCCGAGGGTCAAATTTTGAAACGGACATACAACCACTCAGAAAATATCAAAGTGCAAGACGGCGAGGTATGCATGGTATGTTATCATCATCAAGACATGTTAGGAAACAGATACTTACCACATCATCCATAGCATACGGAGTTACGTTGTCTCGTGCTGGGTCGCCATGCGGGATCATGGGAGCTGGAAAGTTGGGATGCACGGGGTTTTGACCTTGGTTACCCCTAGTAGATGATGTCCCTCGGGGACTCATCATCCCAGGCGACATGGGAACGGATGAACGCCCACGGGGAGATCCAGGTGGCGGTTGTCCCGGAGCCATACTTGCTGATTTGAACTGATATCAAATGTCACAGGTCAGCTACTGTTTCTCGACGACAGGCAGTGTCAAATCATTGAGATGAAGGAGTATTCTAACAGAGAGGACTGTGGTGTATCTGCAAGTACCAAATGAGAAAGAATCTGTGACAGTAACGCGTCAGCGTTTTGGCGCGTCGAAAACAGAGAAGCAGATATTCCACGAGAAGGGAAGAGATGGTGAAGGGAAAAAGCAGAAGAAGAAGAGACAACGAAGGATGTGCTGCAATAGAGCTGTTATGATGGTTGTGGTTGTGGTTGTGGCTGAGAACGAAGTTGTTGACGTTGAGGTTGTTGGTTGGAAGAAGGCGAGGAGGGGCAGGCTAGGTATTTATGTGTGGAAGGGGCTAACCAACCTAGCTAGGCAGAGCAACACAGGAGGAGGTGAGGCCAGGCTAAGCTGCCAGCAGACTGTCCTCGGAGTCAGATTGTGAGCAGCTAGCGTTGTTTTGCAGCAATATGCCGCCTGAACTGATACCAATGTGAGGACAGGCGAATGGGAGAACTGAGAGATATATGAAGGAGGGACCTGGTTACAGATATATGCAGAAGTTTCTGGGATGTTGTATGCAAATATCTGTTGCTGCCGGAAGTTTGCCCGGGAAGTTCCTATATTATGGAACTAGGGGAGAAGAGAAAGCTAAGTTGAAATCGGTCTTGCTTCAGGTCCGATGGTTCTTTTGAGGCTCGTTCTCAAAATTGGGTCACCATTTATTGAAGAAGATTTGATCTAAGCTTTCATTGCAAGGTAAGAGTTATCTTGCCTTTACGGTAATATTCTTTTCTAATTTATGAAGGAATTGAATATAAAGATATTCGCAGGAATGCACCAGTGTGAAGGTAACTCATGGGAAACAACTGTGACACGGAGGATGACGGACTGGATACCTCTGCATGGAAAACATTTACTACATAATAGTAAAAACAGGAAATCAAGACTTGTGGCAGTTGGGGATATCAAATAATTGACCATACATTGTATTCCAACTACAACGGGGTATTCTTCGGTATCTTTGTGAGCACACTTATCGCCACACCTATCGTTTCATACCAGAAACGAAGTACCATTGTTTCCAGTGCTGCATAAAAAGCATTCAGTCCCCAGGCTGTCAATCACAACAGCAGTGTCCAGTAACCACGAGTTCATGGCGAAAACCGTATGTAATTGTGGTGCGCCTGGGCATGCGGGAATATTGCACCAGTTCAAGGAGATAAGCATAGCATAGCATCACGCAAGTGGATGCTATGTTTCGAGAGTTCCAGCACCCGGAGTGTCTAGCCATGGCTGAGTTGAAGATCCCAAACTGCATCGACGCGAACCTGTGTCGTGTTTTGGGTAGCCACAGGATAGCTGCTGAAAGAGCCGTTAGCCGACAGTTCTCAAGGGGACAAAGAGCGGCACTTATATCGCGACCAATGGAAGATTCAAGCACCTTCTTCACCTGGAAACCCGGCATCACGGCCATGCATCTCGCTGCTGCAAAGCTGTTGATTCTCCTTCCTTTGCTTGACGTTGGAGAAAACCGCGTTTGTCTGCAGGCGAAGAAGAAAAGTGGGGCCGCGAGCTCAGCTCAGCATCTGGGCGAAAACGGGCATCAGATCGACATTCACTGTTTCCCTTTCCTCGCGTCTGGCCTCTCCCCGTTCCTTTCCCGTAAGTCTTCTCACTCACAGTAAATCAATCCAGTCATCCGAGAGTACAAGTATCTCCCTCCTTGATTAGCTCACTAGCAAGCCCGCTGACTGATCGACCCTAACCAATGGTAGCTATCAGGGCACCTTGGAAGGGTATCTATCATGCTTATCCATGCGGACAGCTAATGTTGTGAGAGCGACCCAGACTCTCACAGTAGCCTCCTTCGAAATAATCCGGCTCCCGGCTTGCCTACCGTGCTTTCCCAAAAGGCGTTGTCGTCCGCTTCCGAAATAACTGTGAAGCAGGGTAGAAATTCATCCCACATGATATCCACCTCTACTCAATTAGCAGCCCAAGAAATTTCCCAATGGGTTCGCTGCGACTCCTTGGATTGAGCACTTCCATTATGCATCCCGTTGAAATAAACACGCGAGGAGTGGGACTTCTCCGCGGCTGAGTTCTCGTGCTTCGTTAAACTCTCGGGCGCGGTTACGTCACGTGTTCATGTGATTAGTAAACTAGGTCCCGTCTACAGTTAATTAACGGGAGATCTCTATTTTTGGTGCTACGCCTGGATTCGTTAGTTAACCAAAACTAGAGCAAGAGACACCGTTGAAGTCGCTTTCCAGACTCATCCATCTTCAAATTCCTATCTTCCCACTCTGCTATGTCAATTTACTTATAGTATCTATCTACATAATGGAAAGGATACAGTCTTCTAATAAACATAAGCAATAACTCTCTTTCTCCTAGTCTTGTTCATACCTTGACCTTATCTAATACAGGTTGAATTCTCTCCAGTTTCTCAGAGCCTTTTGATATTGAGACTGCTCTTGCTGCAACTTTGCGCGCCTCGCGAAATTGTGCTATCCAGCAACAGCTTCGAGCTCGTCATAGCTGAGGTGGGGAAAGAATCCGGCGGAAACAGTGCGAATTGGGCAGCTTGCGCCTAACGCGTGCCTCTCAACAACCTGCATTGCCATATTGTCGATAAACCGGTTAAGTGCAATCTGATAATAGGATTCCAACCTCGCGCGGACGTATAGGTTTATGCTCAGTTTAGTTGAAATGCTGACAGGTCCACGAATTTGTCCCTCTCTACACTTGGATGTGCTTCGGAACGGCGTGTGCATCAGGGGTCTGGTGACTTGGCTAAAAATTTACTAAGAATACAGAATCGTAGGTAGTCAAAGGGCAAGGGCGGAGATGAAGTGGGGGGGATCGTCTAAGAAAGGAAACGAGAGAATGCATCCCTGGGAAGGATAAACGCTTACTTGATTTTAGTGTAAGGATGATGTAAAAACACTGACGGATGATTATAATACTCCCACTGGATCAAGCAATCGCCGATAGAGTCATAAATCGAACCTTCTATAGAATCTGAACAGAAAAGTTGTTTTCCTTCTGACTGCTCAGTTTTAAGACATAGCCATCACAATAATAATAGCCTGGTTGAGTTGGGTTAAAAAAGATGCCGAGCAAGTTATACTGCCTAGCTTGCATTCAGTTGGGTCACAAAAGAATGCATCGCAGTGGAGAATAGCCTCGATTTCTGTAAACCATGAATCGAGAAGGTAAGCATGGCTCCCATCACCATCAGATCCGTAATGTATGCCTAAAGGCACTATACTATTGTCGAAAAAATATAGACAAGACTTCCAAAGTCACCTGGGCAGAGAATGGCTTGTCTGGGGCTGTCCATTTTATAGACATGTAGAAGGTCAAAGTCTCATCCTGTTCCGGAGTTGACAAAGAGGAGCTGGCTGATGAAGGCGAAGACGACGAGAACAAGCCAGCCAGCGTAGGCCGCGGTAATACTTGCGAAAGACCACGAGTGTCCCGATGAATATGCGTTTAAAAGCCTTGTGTAACGCCTGTGTTAGCACCATGCTTGTGCACAATAAGGGGACCATTCGTGCGTAACCATCTGATAAGCCTGCTCGGATCCTCACTCGAAGGACCACTTTTAACATGTTGGTTATCCCTAGCATCTAGGGAGGGCCCAACGATTTATTTGCGTGGCAGTTCACATCCCCTAGTATACAGTGTAGGGGAACATCGGCAATGGTATGGGGAATAGCAAGGAGGCAGATCTCATCAAGAACGGGGCGGTCTATCCGCAAACGGCTTCTAGCCATGGGTCTTCCACCATTGAGTTCAAACTAGTTGACTGTCGTTGGCATCTCGAGATTCCCATCGATATTAATAGAAAGTGTATTCCCTGTGTCACCGAGAACATAACCAATAGTTCCAGTGGCATGCTTCGTTTCTAACCCCATATGATAAAGCCAAGGATGCCAAAGTTCTCGGCGTCCGGGTTGACTGGTTTAGGCTCAGAAAAATGCTTACCTCCAGGTCTGGTTCCCAGCGTATCGTTTTCTGGCAAGGCAGTGTAAATATCATGCTTAGATTCCTGGAGAGATATTATCGGCAAGTCTGCTAAGACTGGAGGGAGTTGCGGACAATGGTCACGCCAATAGAGAATGATTTGTCCATTACCATCCTCGTCCCCATCGTCAAAGTCAACTATGTCCGTTAGGCTAGAGTCAGGTAGATAAGTTAGTATTAAAGCAAGGCTTATCAGGAATATATATGCAGCGGCTGACCCTTTGCAATCACTGTTCCTCAGAATGATGGAAATATGGGACAGGACACTGTCACGCAGTACCTTGGCCGCGACCCCATCTGTAAGAGAGTCTGCCTTGACAAACTGACGAACGAAATTCGGTCGCTGGGTTAATTCCAAGGAAGCTGATCTCTGCATTTCTTGAAGTATAAGGCGCAGTTAGGCATCTATAAGCTCGATTCTGCATCTGATGGCCTGTATTACGCGTCGCCGACGACGAGGAGGCAATGCGTTCAGTTGTGACGCCGTCATACCAGCCGTCGCCGCGCTCAGTTGGGATTCATAGTAGCCATCGCAAAGGTAAAGAAAAAAAAAGTCTTTCAACAAGGTATAATATTGAAGTACGGCTTGATGTTGTAGTACGGCTTGATGGGGATCTCAGGGGAACAACGATGATATGATGGTCAACGCGATCTGAAAAAGGAAAAAGCAGGACAGGTGGGCTTTGACGTCAGCTCAATACCGAAGAGATCATGCCAAGCCTGACTCATAGCCTGACTCAGCGACGCTAGACTAACTAGTTAAGTTGTTAGCGGCTCTGGCGCTTAGCGATGACCGGGATCCGACGTCAAGGGCCTTAAAACTCCGGACGTTGAAGCAAATACCTACCTAAAATAATATAAAAACTGGCAAGTTACCTAATACCCTACTAGAATATCAAGCACAAGTGGATGACTAATCCTAGCTGTAACAAGTCACAAATCGATGGCGTAAATGTTGCCCCAGTCGCTTTACTGGTTACCTGTCAGGATATGTAGCTTAGTCAGCTTGCGCCCGTATATTGGCGCTGCAAATTCTGCATGTAACTCTATTGGATCCCTTATTACACACGGATATTCGTTCGATTACAACGTTTAACCAATCATACCGCCTTCTGCTGCTGTTCATTTGACATTACCTTACTTCTTCTCACTTCTCATACCTCACTTCTTCTCTTCCCGTTTTTCTGATTGACCCACGTTATGAGCAATTCCAGTGTGTCCTCTCCGCTATCTGACTCTAAACCCCAAACAATGAGCAAGGAAGAAAGGCGCCAGGTGGCCCAAGAGCATCTTACAAAATTAGAGGGTATGACTCAGGAGGAGTTGGTAGAGTTGTTGAAGAAAACTGGACATTGGGGGTAGGTCATATATCTATATATATTCTGTTTATCATCTAACTAACTGGATAATAGACGGGAGCCCGAGCATACCATACGACACTGACGATAATATTAAATATGAAAAGGGGAGAAGATCACCTAACCTGACCTGCTGTGCTTCTATCTCTGGTTATTGAGTGTTGATACCCTTTTTTTCTACTCTTCCTACACAATTTTCCAGATGCATCTCTTTAGCCTTAAAGAGTCTGGTTGGGGTAAGGCAGCTATCCTATTAATTGTTTAGTCCTATTAATCGTGCATTGTCCTATTAATCGTGTAATACCCTATTAAATCTTGTGTTGTCACCTCGAAACTTGTGTTTCTGCTGTCAAATTTGTTTCACCTCACTCCTGGCATCGCCTCCTGCGCCCGCACCCCGTACTTGGCCTCTACATTTTCTACAATACTCTATCGTAAGTTTTGCTTCTCTGATACATCGTCTGTTTCTTTCTTGATACTGAATTAGTAGTATAGCCGAATCCATGGAAGCGGAAGTCGCGTATAGAACGGCGTGGAGATCGGCTCGTTACACGTCGTTTAATACGCTCCGCCATGCCTTGAAGGTGCTCACAAGTCTCGGCGAAAGAGTTCGTTCAGTGTCAAAGGTTGTTGGATAAGGACGTTCTCTCTGAAGCTCTGGAAGAGGGAAACCTTTCGGATTTAGAATTAATCTGTCAAGATGGCGTGGTTTTATGCACTTCTTTCTGTATTCATGTTGCATCCCTTACCGCCGAGCCCACTTCATTCCAGTTTCTAGAACTGGAAGGCACACATCGAGCAGCACTAGGAATGAACGGCATTATTCTTGACTCTTCTGCCGGAAAGGCCCTTCGATCTTTAGATGGGAAAGCCATACCTGGTTACAAGGGTCTGTGGAAACTTGAGAGATCTGGCATCGAAGGCATAACACTACCTTTCAAGGCAAGCCCACTTTACCTTCAAATATCGTTCTATGCTAACGGATACTAGAGTCCCAAAAGCCCAAGTTTCGTTCCGTTTGAACCTCTGCGAAGCCGTCTCTACGCTATAAAAATATTGTGTCATTCAACTTTCCAAACAGGATAGTTTCCTGTGCATGTTCCGGTAAGTTGCTGTGTTTGTATCATTACTCATTCCATTACTAAGGAAGCATTGTCTATAGTAGTGAGATCAACGGAAAATCACAGTTTAATGAGCGAATCGTGTGGAAGCCCTCTGGCTGATTGATTGGGAAGGGCTACGAAGAAGGGTGGCAATGAGGTCCACTGAGATGATCCGATGTTTGCTCTCCCAAATGCCATTGAGAGTAACAATCCTTCCTTGCAAAGGTTGATACATCTCGGTACACTGTTGTGATGGAGGAGCCGTCACGACATCGTATCTCCTGAGCTGCCTAGAATATCATCACCAAGCCAAGCGTCCCAAGTTCCATGAACACAGTGTGATTTTCTCTCAGGCTGGCGGGGATAGAGAGTTGAGTCTCATTCATCTGGGTATGATGCTTGCATTCTGTCAAGACGAAGGCCGAGCTTCCCAGTTTCAGTATATACGTCCGTTTTTGATGGAGATTTGGAAGGCAAGCATAGAGGAGATAAAGTTTAGGACGTTAACTTCGTTGTGGGTTTAACGAGTGCTATAGTTTCAGCTACTTGTATCATCCTGTCAGGTGATAATGAAAGTGAAAGCACCACTTAGGCACAAGCTGCCCAATTCGCTCTGTTCTTCCCCAAGCTTCACTATGACAAGCTTGAAGCTATTACTAGAGAGTGTGACTTCGCGAGGCAAGCAGAATTATAGTAAGAGTAGTCTTAATATTAAAAGTGTTATCATAGTATATGGTTGGTATGGTTAATCTGTCTTCATTTGATGTCATCATTGTGTCGTCTTCCGGTCGACGAGATGACGATGCAACTAACTACTTGACTAAGGACATAACTAATGACTAATAAGACATGATGACTAACATAGAGGGAAGGATGTATCTTTTTGCCATCCAACGCAGCCTCGCATCACCAGACTTTTGTCGTCTGGCCACTTTGGCAAATTCTCATCCTTCGAGTTGCCCCGTTTAGATGTAATGTTACTCGCTACGCCGTAACAATCAAATTAGTGATGTAATTTCCCCGTTAATTCGGTAAT